TTTACTTAACAATTGTAAGATAAGAGACTAGCTTAGTATTGTGCTTTGGAAAATAATGCATGAGAATCTCCAGTGTACTATGCTATAGCCTTTAGTTCCTACCAGAGGTGGGTTGCTACCAGCTCAGGCGAACCGGTAGTAGAAATTGCAACTGGGTTGTTGAACCAGTAGGGGCAGCAAGTTCGCCACAACCCCAAACTGGTTCCCCAATCACTGCCTGTTTTTTTTTGACATTTTTAATGTGCTGCGCATGTGCAGACCTATTTACAGGCAACTGTGGACACGCGAGCAAAGCGAGTATGTGCAAATTACACGTGCATTGAACCAGCAGTAACGCTGGCAGAAACTCACCCCTGGTTCCTACCCATTTTAGCTTGAACAGGAATTTGCTGCAGATAAAGTTGAGCAGTTCATTTAATATGTCTAGTTTTAATACATTTAATGTATTTATGCTTTATTTACTGATGCTTTAGCTGTTTGTTGGGAGTCTCCCAGAGTTAATATGGTTGGCTATAGAAATGTTTTAAACACCCCTTCCATTGAGTCAATGCAACATTAGCCCTGGTATCTTTTAGACTTCACTAAGCTTAACTATTGCAATAGTAGTCAGATAACTTTCCTCAGAAGTCAAACAATTGATGTATCCTAAAAGGGCGATTCTGTAATGATTGCATCAACCTTTAATTTTCATAGTCTGAAAAAGTGTACACTTTTCTCTATAAAATTTTAATACTTCTACTAACAGCAGAATGTCAATAACTTTTCATCCATCTTATGTTACTACTATATATCAGAATAATTTATTTCTTAAAGCTCAACAACTGATATTTGCCAAGCAAGTTGTTTCTTCTCAATTTCTGCCTAAGAGTTTTACAATATAAATCATAGTGTGTCCTGCTTTGCTCACACAAATGTTCCATATGCTTCAAAAAACCAGTAAGTGCTGTTTTCATTATGTCAAAGCATCATAGTTGAGCTACACTCCAATACCTTATTTCTTGCTTTCAAATTATACAAATTAACCAGTCTGTTTGGGTGGTACCTTTTCAAAATATCCTGAAGGCTTAGAGGAGAAAAATTCAATTACTCCCCCAAAGTACTTTTTGAAGTGTAATTTGCAGGTTTTATGATAGGTTTTTCTGTAAATGATATGAAGTAGATCATCAATGCTAATAAGGAGTGGAGTTTACTCTTTATTTTATTCTAGTGCCTTGCCCTGTGATCTTGGAGGTTCTTTGGTTGGGCAGTTTGATTGGGGTATTGTTTACTTCTTGGTAACTGTTGGTCTGTTAACCTTGGAGTTCATCTATGCTCATCTGGATGTTGATTATTGGTGGGAAGGGAACTGCCAACAAACTAACAGTAAACAATGCCAGCACTAATGTTACCTAGCTTGGTTAATGAAATGTCTGCAAGTAAATAACCAAGCTCAGAGAGCACCAAGAACCCTCATTGCCGAGGAAGCACTTGTACCTAAGTTGTGTTTGTTATAGTTCTCATTCTACGATTTGCAGGTTCTGGAACAGGTTGAGAGAAATTTAAACTCTCCTTCTCACAAATGCAGCACTGATATTGCTAAGCAGCACTTGCCTCCATTAGGACTTGGGCTGGAGACCACTAGACAATCCTAAATTAGACTAGAAAGTCGAAAAGACATTGTGGGAAGAGGACAGGGACAAACCATAATTCACAGTAACAACATGGGCTGTGTTAGGAATCATTAGGGTGATAGCTTCAAGATGCTCCACTTGAAAGCGGCTATTGGATATAACAAGGGGTCCCCAAACTTGGCAACTTTTATGACTGTGGATTTCAATTCCCAGAATTGAATCTGGGAGTCGAAGTCCAACAAGTCTTAAAAGTTGCCAAGTTTGAAGACCTCTTGAGATATAGCAAAATCCCTCCCGCTCAGTTTCAAGCGAAAAACTACTCAAAGCGAGAGTTCCAATTTTCTTATCGCAGCCCCGCCTTTTTGGGCGGAAACCCTTCCGTTCTTCCGCCAATCACTGGCGATTTCTGCGGGCTATAGACACACGCGCGCGCGCGCTTGTCTCTAAGCAACAGGCCTAACTCCGACACCTCTTGCGGAACGGCCGTATTGAGGAGAGTCGAGTACCGATGGCGTGGATGTCCGAGCTCGGCTTTGAAAGAGGCGCGACCCCATTTCTCCCCCTGCCGGAGCCTGCCTCGTTTTGCCTCCTTCCAGGAAAGGCGGCGAAGGACTCGTCTCCTTTTCCGAGGAGTTCAGCGCAGGCGGCAAGATCGGGGCTCGACTGATCCGGCCTAGAGCGCGGGTGATTTGATGGGCTCTGGAAGCGGCGCAAGGAAAGAAAAGCACCCGCCCTCCCCCCTCCTTCGTCTGGGGTCTCGATGGCGTCCGCTCTGGTAGGGCCGGTCATGTTTCGCAAGCGGCGGGAACGGACGATTGTTTCCTTTTGCTTTCGCTGTTTCCTCACGTGTTTGGCTCAGCCGACGGCTGGTAGTTGACGGTTGTGCTGCTTTCGCGGTGCCCTGAATCTCAAATCAAGCCACGAACTGCTTTCGTAGCCTGGGCGAGGGGGGAGGGCGCTTTCTTTCCTTTTGCTTTTCTTTTTTGTTCAGTGTTTCCTATCTGGAATTGGATGAATCGTGATTTGGTGAAGCGGGGTTGTAGCGCTGACACAGCCGAGAAGTGCTTCTCCCCTGGGTGCCGTTGCACTGAATAGCGTAACCCAGGGCTCCCCAAACTTGCTATGCTGGCTGGAGAATTCTGGGAGTTGAAGTCCACGAGTCTTAAAGTTGGCAAGTTTGAAGACATAGTGTAACTCCTGAATTCTCAGTCCCAGCATCTCTGAAAAACGGTTTTGGGGGAAAGTGGGAAAGAAAGTCGTACACATAGACTGTAAAGGACTAAAGAGTGTTTTTATTTTTGATACTCACTTTTTAAAAGGGGATTTAAAATAGCTATTGTTGTGAAGCGGAGGGGGGGGGGAGCTGCTTGGTTTGGAGAAGTGATCAAACAGGCTAATTTTAATCTTATTTTTGGTCGCCAGTCTATGGGCTGGGAAGCTAAAGGATGTCCAGTAGAAGAGAATAGATGCAGTTTCTGCTTGAACTGTGGAAGCCTTGGTGCTCTCTGACCCTGGTTGCACTTTGCTTGAAGTCTGGTGAATGAAATGTCTGCAACCAAAGAGCCAAGCTTGGAAAGCACCAGCGATTCCAAAGGGATGTAAAATTTGGATATTTGAATGGAAAAACTGCAGAGATTACCAGTAAAAAAAAAAAATCATTAAAAAATACTGTCAAATTCTATTAACATGTTTGTCAGGAAAACTTGTATAGCTGTGACCATGACATTTTGCAGATTTTAAGGGTGTGTGTGTGTGTGTTAAATTTTATTTTTGCTGTGCAATAGAGGAAAAGCAACTGCACAGAACAGGATCCTAATCTAATTAGGATTATTAATTAATAATCAGTTTAATTATTAATTAAAGGTTTAATTATTAATTAAACCTAATTTTTTAAAAATCCAGTTTTTCTATCACCTCTGCCACCTGCAATCAAAACAAATCAGCAGCTGCAATGTTGTCTTCCTGATCAACTGCCTTAGCTACCATAACAAAAGGAATCGTGAGATGGCTTAGTGACAAATGCCTCAGCGTGTTTCTTTTTCTTTCTTGGCAATTCCACATGTAGGGTTGGTCATAAAAAAAAAGTTGCATATTACTCACTCCCTCCCTCTCCTGTCATCCTTGGCTGTGTGATGCTAGGGCTATATCATCTGTTGAAGAAGGAAAAAAATAGTTGTTTCTCGTCCTTTAAATAGAAGTCATGTTTTATTTCCCATTAATGCAGATGATGAAGTTCACTTTTTTGTCTCCAGACAGTGCAGTATAGAAATGTTATTTTGATATTTAATTGATAAATATCTGATCGATTGCATTTTAGCCAATATCCTTCCCAAAGATAAAAATGCAATTCCATCCTTATTTTTATAACCTGAGTAGTAAACAATGTTATATTTTAATTAAAAGTGTTCAGTTGCTGAGTGCCCTCTAGTCTAAGAGATCCATTATCCTGCTCTATATTATTAATCATTTTATTTTCTATTCCTATATTTTTATTCATATTCATTTCTGTTCTATCTTGGTAAAATAAAGGAGTTGTTTACTTGTTCTGCACCGTAGGAATGGATGCTTTTGCTATTGTCACTACAGTGACCATCTCTCTCCAATGTATTCCTATTTTGCAGTTATCTAATAGAAGTACCTATTTGCTTTAGTTGGGCAGCTGAATGACCTTCATCCTTTAGGTGACCCTGCTGGGAATTATAACTTCACATACACTCCCAGCACACAATAAAGACCGGAGGAGCTATGCAAAATAAAATATGCTAATACACAAGCATGTGTTTCAATTGCCATCAAACAGCAAGCGCAATCACCTTCATATCGAGAGAGTTCAATATATCTTCACTTATCAGTGGGAGCACTGATGATAACACAGTATGATATATCTGAAAGAAATCCTTCCCCAACCTTGGGAAAGTGAGAGATGCTAGGTATTTGGCCAGCATTAGGGGTCCCGCTTTTCTGGGGCATTTTTTTGGTCCCCAGTTTTTTACAGTGAACAAAAGCAAAATATGCTAGTTACTCATCTGGATTCTATTGGTCTCATTAAATGGTATAGAACAACAACAAAAAAAAAAGAATTGTAGCATCTCCATGTACTACTTTGTGGCAACACATTATTGTATCAAATTAGTATTTAAATAATAGTTCTTTATGAAATTTGTTGAACTTCCCATTTGACAAAAAGTCTGGGTAGCATATAACAGATGAATA